TTTTGCCTCATCAATCTCAGACTTGATGTTGGGGGAGCTGGCAAAATAGAAATGCCAACAGGAAGAGATAAGATAAGATAAGATAAATCTCCAGGTGCAAGAAGCTTCATTAGAAAATGTTAACAAGCATTTAGAATGAAATTAATACCAACTATCAAGAAACATGATGGAATGAAATTGAGATTCCAGTGCCACTTATAATTGGGTTTGAAAAAAGATAAATAAAAGGTGCAAATCTAACAAAATTTATGCCAACCTTATATAGTATACTGAAACTATTCAATATCAATGAAAGGAATCAAAGCCAATCTAACGGTAAGAAGAGTCACACTGTATTAATGGACTGGGAGACTTAACATAGCAAAGACATCAATTTTCTTCAAACTGATATAAAGGGTTAACACAAAAATCTTAGCAAGATTTTTTATAGATAAAGACAAGATTATTTTAAACTTGGAAAGCCATAAGAAATAGGTTAAACTGCTTCAATAAACAAGAATAAATGAGAAAAATCAGTCCCCACAATTTCACAACTTACATAGCTATAGTAATTAAGACTGTGTAGTTGCAGAAGGAAAAAAAATAGACCAATGGAAGAAAACAGAGAACCCTAAAACAGACCAACAAATATACTAGTGCGTTTCTGACAAAGGTGCCAGTGCACTTTAGTAGGAAAGGCATGCCTTTTCAGAAAGTGTGTCAGGAGTAAGTGAACATCCACAAGTTAAAAAAAAAAAAAAACCTCAACCAAAGTCTATCATCTTCTTCAAAAGTTAACTTGAATTAGAGCTCAAACTTAAATATACAGTTGAACAAATTTTGTTACTTAGGGGTAGGTAAATGGTTCTTAGACCTCATACTAAAACCCAACCCATAAAAGAAACACTGACATGCTGCACTTTATCAGAATTAAGACATTTTTCCTCCACCAAAAACCAAACGAAACAAAACATTAAGGACAGGAATGTATAAGCTATATAACAGGAGAAAACATTTGAGAAGCACACATCAAACAATTGACCAGCAACTAGGATAAATCTCAGAACTCAATAGTAAGAAAATAATCTAATTGGAAAATGGACAAAGGACACTGTCTTTGACTATCTGTGCTGCTATAACAAAATACCAGAGACTATACAAAGAACAAAAACTTAACCCAAATGCAGTGGTGTATACTTGTAATCTGAGATACTGAGAAGGCAGAAGTACAAGGATCATAGCCCATAAGTTTGAGGGTAGCATGGGCAACAAAGCAAGACTCCACCTCAAAATAAATAGCAACAACAACAAATTATTATTATTTCTCTATCGCTCTGGAGTCTAAGAAGTCATTATTAAAGTGCTATCACTCAGTGGCTAGTGAGAGCCGTTGTGCTGTATCCTTACATGTCAGAAGGCAGAGAGGCAAAAAAAGGTCTAAGCAAATTCCCTCCAGGCTTTTAGAAGGTACACTAATCCATTCCTGATAGCAGTGCCCTCAGATTCTCAAAAGGCCCCGCCTCTAATACCACAACAATGGGAATCAAGTTTCACCATAAATTTTGGAGGGGATATTCAGACCATGGCAGGCATAAAAAACAATTCACCAAAAAAAATATACAGATGGCAAGTAAGTAAACAAAGAGATGTTTAACATCTTCAGCTACTAGGCAAATGCAAATTAAAATCAGAATGAAGTATCACTCCACCCCTATCAGAATGGCTAGAATAAAAAAAAAAAATGCTGGCTAGGATGGTTATTCATATATTGCAGGTGGTAATGTAAAATGGTACAGTTCTTTGAGAACATTTGTCAACTTCTGAAAAAGATGAATCTCACAACTAACACAGAACTCAACAATATCTCCCCAAAATGAAGACTTAACATTCACACCAAAATCTGGCTACACAAGGATGTAGAGCAACTAAAATAACCCAGAAGCCCTTCAACAAACTGTGGTACACCTGTATTACAGAATGCTACTAAGCAATAAAAAGGAACAAGCTACTGAAACAAGAACCTCCAAGAATGTCCATAAAATTAAGCTGATTGGAAAAACTTTTTCCAAAGGTTATATAATACTATCTGGTTTCATTTATATAACATTTTAGAACTGTGTGTGCACTCTCAAAATTGCTATGCTGAAAGCTAATCTTCAATATAATGGCAGCTGAAGATCGAGCCTTTATGTCTTGTTTTGATTGTAAGGGTGGAGCCTGAAAGAATAGAATTTGTACTCTTCTGAAAAGGACCCCAGAAAGCTCCCTCTTCTCTTCTACCATGTGGGAACAGCAAAATCTTAGCATTCTATAAATCAATAAATGGATCTTCACCAGACACCAAATCTGCTAGTGTCCTAGTCTTAGACTTCCCTGCCTCCAAAGTATAAGAAATTCCAATTGTTTATAAGCCACCCGAATAGTGGCATTCTGTTATCACAGCCTGAACATACTATGACATAGGTATGAAACATCTATCTTAGGTTTGTAAGCATGTATTAACTTATTTAATCTGTAACAATCCTTCCTAGCAGGTTAGTTATTATTATACCTGTTTAAAAGTTAGGCATTGGCCATTAAATGTTGGAACACCATTAAACACAAAACTAAAAAGAAAAAAATTTCTGCCTGAAAACATCATTGCTATATACGAGAAACCAGCACTATCTTTTGCACATAAAAGAAGATCAATACATACTTCTCAAAGATACAAACAAACCTATGCAGGTTCTTACTCTATGATTCATGTATTATAAATTATTTAAAGTTTATCCTTGCTCTGTCAAGCTGCATGGTAAATACTAAGTAATGACTTTTAATCCCTGAGTCTAGGTCACTTCCTGGTCTTCTCAACCCAAATGGATCCAAGAAGATGAAGTAGACACTGAATAACCTGGGAAACAAAAAATCTGGATCCAGCTGTTACTTTTTCTGCAATATTATATAGACTTTCTCTGCTTGTACATCCTGAAAATGAAAGGCATGATGATTATGATCTCTAAAGCCTTTTTCACATATCAGAGTATTCAGAACATTCACTGTTGTATTGCCCATAAAAATTCAAAGCAAATGCCCATCAACAAGTGATTAGTTGAATGTTAATTACATTTATTCATGGGAACACTATGCCCCCAACAAAAAAGAACAGATGAAATCTTATGTATTCACATACAAGGTCTTTAAAGTTGTATATAACATGCTGTGGTTGTAGAAATGTGACAAGTGACAATTTACTTTAAAAAGGACAAAGGGAATATTTAACAATTATTTCAAGGAGAGGTGATAGCACAAGGAACTTTCACTTTTTAAAAATTTTTATATTTTTGTATTATTAGAATTTTTTACATGTGTTAAGGACTTTTGCAATCAGAAAACTATTTAAAAATAAGTCATTTGTTTTCCGGCAATGACTCAATTTACAAGAATGCACTTTTCTCCACTATTTCAAGAATGTATCTACAAACTAATTTTATATTAAATTCTATTACTATATAGTGTGAATCTGTTTTGTGTGTACATTTTCATATGCTCTTAAAAAGTTTCACAAACTCTGAAGTCCCATGTGACCACATAAAACACAATTTCTACAAATAAAAATACTAATTATGCTCTCTGTGAGCAAATTTTGAATAAGTTACACAGGTAATGGATCATAACCAGATTTAACAGGTAATAAAAGTAGAATTCCAAACTGAAAAAGAACAAATCAACAAAGAAGAAATACTTTGGAGTTTTAAACAGTTCTCACATCCACTGAAAGGGCAGCAGTAGAGGGAAATGATCAACAGCAGTTTTCGTGTTTCTTAACCTTTAGAAAGGTCTAGTGTTCTAGGGGGACAGAGCTCATGGCCTGTCAGGATTCCAGTGTCCCTCCAGCTGAGTGTCCTTATACAGGCTAGGTCAGATACTCTTAACAATACACTAAGGACTAGCTAGTGATTGTTTTTAAGTCATGTCAAGAGATTTCCCCAAAATTTTCTCTCTGAAAAGTGGAAATAGAAAATATTATCTCAGTGTCCAACAAGCATGGCACAATGATAGAGATCATAAATCTGTGTCAATAAAACAGAGAGTTGCTTACCTCAAAAAGTGGGGCCCTAAATTACTACTGGGACAGAACCTTCTACCCATGACTCCCTAGGTCTGGCAGACTGAAGGCCCAGATGGATCCTATTCCTGAACCCATTTTCACTACAGCTGTCTTAAAATTTGAACAAAGGTTCCCTGCCTACATATTTTATTTACACTGGGTCTTGAAATCAAGTAGCTGGTTTGGTTGCTTCCATGCATGAAAGGAGAATGTATACCTGAGAAAATTGGTACTAGAAGCAGGTTCTGGCCTCAGCTCTGGCATTCAGAAGTTCATAGTTGAGACAGGCCATTTTTCTCTGAGCTTTACTTTGTGTGTGTATGTTGTGCATATGGGTATGTGCGTGTGTACAACCCTATACACATTTGAGTGCCGCAGCAGACTTCACTAATACAATATACTCCGAGAAATAAAGGTAGTTCAAAATCTTAAAGTATGGTATAGGGCACTCGTGGTGAACTTTTTAGAGCTTTCAACGATAACAAACAGCCTACTGTGGCACACGTGCTGTAGTTCACGACCAGTGGCTTAGGGGCACTTAGGAAAAGCACAAGAGGTAATTTTGGTATACAGGACTGAAGGTGGGGCCAAAAGGATGAAGGAAGTGTCCTTCCCCTAGTATATGGCTATCCTACCAAGCTCTGTACAGTTTTAAACAGAATGTTCCTGTGTTCTGAATAGGGAAACCATTGCTCAATCACTCACCCTTACTCACTTTTACTAAATGCAAACAATAATAAATAAAATATCACAATTATAGAAGACTTTTTATTTCTCAAAGGCGCAGCATTTGCTAAATAGATCATAAGAGGTTTAAAAATTAAATGGCAAATTGCCAAAGAGCAGTGCTTCATTCCATGCTATCAAAACTGAAGTATAATTGTCTTTCTTTTTTTTATACATATATGAAGAAAATAAGCATCCATATTACCTTGTTAACTTTCACACCTTCTTTCGGAGTTTGTTTTGTTGCTAGATTATACCCAATCATCTGTTTAGCCAGCTGTCCCACAACTTTGGGGCTGAGGGGGAGAAAAAAAGAAAAGAAAATCAGTGTTTGTTGAAAGTCATTTTCACTACAGTCCACACAGCCTCATGGCTAAACTGAACAGGGCCCATCCCTCATTCCCAGAACCCAAATCTTTCCACTTACCTCGTATGTGCCTAGTGCTGTACTAGAACTGAGAGAAAAATACAAATGAGTGAATGAAAGCAAGCAATGCAAGATGCTTGTCGATCTTTGCAATGTTCTTGCTCCACATTAGTTATAATCATCTGAAAGATACAATGCTGAGATATGTAATAGATTTAGACAAAAGTTGAATTAATATTTGAGAATGGACACTTTAGGAAATACTAAACAATGAAAGGAATGAACAGGAGGATAAAGATTAAAGTAAATAACAAAGGGTATATAACACAGCCAGGGATGAGAGGAACATGTGGGTTGCTGAGAGATAACACTGAAGACAGGCTCAGAGGAAACCACGCACAGACTACTCGGTGAGAGGATCTGAAGTCACTGGTAATATGGAGCCACTCTAGGCTCTTTCACAGCAATGACATAAAGTGGCATTTCACTAGCAAGTGGTATCATTTCCAACATTTATGGTGAACTACTTCTTGTATGGGAGAGAAGTATAACATTTCCATCAATTAGGGAAAAAAAACTTTTAAGAGAGCAGAAGGAAATCTGGGGCACTACTGGAGCCCTCTACACATAACCTGTTTCATCTACTTGTTCTGGTCTGCTCCTACTCCACCTCAGCACTCCTCAGTGAGCCTCTCAATCATGGGCAAAACCCTCCACAATCAGGTGGCTCAAAGACAAGGAATGAAAACCCGAAGACTTACTCTTTTGTTAAATGAACACCTCCTTTCAGACCACTATTGAAGACACCTTTTCCTCTTCCTCCAGCTAAGATCTGGGCTTTTAAAACAATCTCTTTTACATCTGAAAAAGAAGAGTTGGTAGTTGATTTTAAATTCATTTTCTTCCCTTTTTTTAATAAGAAAGAAAGAAGGCAATAATGATATATAACTTCCAAATACCAGGTAAAAGGGCACTCAAATCAACTTTGAAAATAAAGGCAATAACTTCAAAAATCATCAAAGTGCCTAAAAACACAGCCTGTTTATGAAAAATGTTCAAAGCTTCCTACCATTTTAATCAGCCATGGCCTCTGCCATGCCACCCGCCTTGGAGCCAATTAACGATGGACTGAAACATCTATAAACTGTGAGTTAAAATAAACCTTTCCTCCTTTAACTTTGGGCATCAGGTATTTTGTCTCAGCAACAAGAAAAGTGCTTAAGACAGTCTGTCATAAATGGCTTTAACAGATTGAGGCACAGGAGGTGAACCTTCCGGGTTGCCATACCACCACCCCCAGGGCAGAGGAGCAGAGCTGGCCGCAGCACAGAGGAGGTGAACCTTCCGGGCCATTGTACCACCACCTCATGTGCAGACGAGCAGAGCCACATGGGTGCCAGCATCAGGAATCCTCCCCCCCACCCTGCCCCATTGAAATGAGAAGACACGTGAACAACTCTCAAAAACAAACTTCCAGATAACCTAAAGGAAGCCCAAAGGGAATTGAGATAGAGCAGTCTGATACTCACAGACCTGGACTACCTGAACTGGCAACAAAAGAGGATCTGAAAAAAATGAAATCAGAAATAATTTCTCAGATATCAGCAGAGATTGTGTCCATAGTGTAAAACATAATTAATAAATCTAGAGAGACACAGATTAAAACAAAATAAGAGGAGCTGAGGAACATAATGGAATCCCAACATAGGAAAAAATGGGATCCATAAAACAGATGCAAACAGATTTCCAGGAGATTAAAAACTTCATTGAAAGTTTATTCAGAAGAATGAACCAATGTGAGGACAGAATTTCAGGTATAGAAGATAAGATTCCAATTAGTGATCAGGAAAAGAAAAATTGCTTTAAATTAGTAAGGGACCACACGAAGTCAATCCAGCAGCTTCTAGATGATGCAAAGAAGAATAACATCAGACTGATCAGACTCAATGAAGAAACAGGAAAGAGTGCAGATGACATTAAAAAACTGTTAACAAAAGTAATGGCAGAAAACTTCCTAAGCAGGAGAAAAGAACTTGACATACAGATAAGTGAGGCATATAGGACTCCAATAGCCTTGATCAAACAGAAATCTACACATAGGCATATAATAGTTAAGATTCCAGAAAACAAACAAAAGAACAAAATTCTACAAGCAGTTAGAGAAAAGAAACAAATCACATACAAAGGAAAGCCCATCAGAATCACAGCAGACTTCTCAAGGCAAGAAGAGCTTGGAGTGACATATTTCAAGCCCTAAAGGAAAAGAGCCTCCAACCCAGATTGATGCACCCTGCAAAACTATCTTTCAAAATTGATGTTGAAATAAGATACTTTCATGACAAAGAACACATTAGGAAATTCATGAATACCAAACCAACGCTCCAAAAATTTTGGACAATACCCTAGGAAAAGACAAGGAGGATCACAACTCCAGGAAGCACAGCAGAATGAATAAACTGGGCACAACAAGAAATTAAATGCAAAGAGGGTGAATCCAACAAAAAGAAAAAGTCATGACAAGGATAAGTTGATATGTATCACTTATAGCCATCAATGTTTTCTTCTTTTCCATATTGAATCAATATTTATTTCAGGACATGACATGTCAAAATAAAACAAAAGAGCCAATCCTTGCTTTTAACAGTAATATTGTATTATAAAAGCACTTTAAAACTCCATCCCACCTTTGAGTATAAGTTACAGGTATGTGGGCTAATGATTCTCTGAAGGCATTTCTCTCTTCATAGCCATCAATGTTAATGGTCTCAATTCACCAATCAAAACAATTAGACTGGCAAAATGGGTCAAGAAGCAAGATCCAACAATATGCTGCATACAAGAAACACACTTAATTCAAAAAGGAACTCATAGACTGAAAGTTAAAGGGTGGAAAACAATACTCAGTGTGACAGGAACCCGAAAAAAACGCAGGAGTAGCTATCTTCTTTGCAGATCAAGTGGACTTCAAACCAACATTGATTAAGAGAGACAAAGGATACTACATCCTTGTAAAGGGAACAATCCAACAGGAAGAGATAACAATCATAAATATCTATGCACCAAACACTAGTGCACCCAACTATATAAAACAAATACTAAAGGACATAAAAAGTCATATAAGCACTAATACAATAGCAGTGGGGGACTTCAATACCCCATTGTCACAAATAGACAGATCAACTAGACAAAAAATAAGCAATGAAATACTAGAACTCAATCAAATTCTTGAACAAATGAACCTAACAGATGTTTACAGAGTGTTCCACCCCACAAAATCAGAATACACATTCTTTTCAGCTGCACATGGGTCATTCTCCAAAACAGACCACATACCCACTCATAGAACACGTTTAAGTAAGTGCAAAGGAACTGAAGTTATCCCCTGTATATTATAAGATCATAGTATGATGACATTGGAGACCAATAGCAAAAGAAACCGCAAGAATCTCATAAATACATGGAAATGGAACAACACACTTCTGAATGACCAATGGGTAACAGAGAAAATTAAAAAAGAAATCAGACAGTTCCTACAATTAAATGACAATGACAATACAACATATCAAAATCTATGGGACACAATGAAATGAAAGCAGTCTTATGAGGGAAATTCACAGCAGTGAATACTCACATTACGAAAACAGAGAGACCCCAATTAAACAACGTGATGTTGAACCTCAAGCTTCTAGAAAGAGAACAGCAGGAAAAACCCAAAGCTCATACAAGGGAGGAAATTATAAAGATCAGAGCAGAAATCAATGCAGTGGAAACTAAGAGATTGATACAAAAAAGATCAATGAAGTCAAGAGCTGGTTCCTCAAAAGAATAAACAAAATTGACAAACCCTTAGCCAACCTTACCAGAAAAAGGAAAGAAAAGGCCCAAATCCATGCAATTAGGAATGAAGAGATTGAAATTACAGTGGACCCAGCAGAAATCCAGAGGATCATGAATGCCTACTTCGAGAACCTATACACCAAGAAGATGGAAAACACAGAAGAACTGGACAGGTTCCTAGATACGTATGAATTACCAAAGTTGAACAAAGAAGACCTAAAAATTCTAAAAAGCCCAATATCAATCAATGAAATTAAAAATGTAATTAAAAACTTAGCAACTAAGAAAAGCCCGGGCCTTGATGGTTTCGCTGCTGAATGCTACAAGACATTTAGAGAGGAACTTCTGCCACTACTGTTTAAACTCTTCAATGAAATTGAAAGGGAAGTAATACTCCTGAATTCATTCCTGGAAGCAAGCATCACCTTGTTTCCTAAAGCAGCCGAAAAAGAGAACTATAGGCCAATCTCACTAATGAAGATAGAGGCAAAAATGCTTAATAAGATACTGGCAAATAGAATGCAGAAGATCATCAAGAAGATTACACACCCTGACCAAGTAGGATTCATCACAGAGATGCAGGGATGTTTCAAAATACGCAAATCAATCAATGTAATACACTATATCAATAGAGCCAAGGACAAAAACCATATGATCATCTCAATGGATGCAGAAAAAGCATTTGACAAAATCCAACATGTATTTATGATAAAAACCCTACAAAAAATTGGAATAGATGGTCTCTAGCTCAAGCTGATAAAAGCCATCTATGAAAAACCAACAGCCAATATCATACTAAATGGTCAAGAATTGAAATCCTTCACACTAAAATCAGGAACAAGACAAGGATGTCCACTATCACCACTCCTGTTCAATATGGTCTTGGAAACATTAGCCATAGCAATTACAGAACAGAAAGAAATAAATGGAATAAAGATAGGAAATGAAGAAGTCAAATTGTCATTATTTGCAGATGACATGATACTCTATATAGAAGACCCCAAGAACTCTACCAAAAGTCT